ATTTATGACCCACAGCATGCCATTCAGATGACTTAACTGCTGCCTCAACTAGCAGAAAAATAATTCTGAAGTCCATAATATATTTTAAAATGTCATATGCAATACTAAAAGAAAAATAATTGCATATGGGTTGTGTTAACACGGATCATTGCAACACACTTGATTCTATGTCATGATTTTCTATTCACTCACATTCAGTTTTGCCAGACATAGCTCTAATTTCTGATTTATATGTACTGTTAGTTTCTTGTTGTGAAATGTAGCTGTTTGTCTACTCTTATTGTGTCTTCTACTGTATAATCTCTTCTAACAAAGATTCTCTCTCTCTCTCTCTCTCTCAAAAAAGCCCCCAACCATCCCCATTTCATACAAGAATTTTTAGTTCCTTAAAATTCTTTCTAGAACAAGTGGCTTTAACGTAGCATGCAGTCAGGGAGAACATTTTTTTTTAAATATATCAATTCACTTTGAGTAATTTGGTCATGTCAAAATGTAGGTAATCTACCCTATGGATAAAAACCATTGAGTCAATTGTGAAGTATCTGAATCATTTTCTCACTATAAATCAATAATGTTTTATTAACTAACAGCTGAAACACACTAAACTGCTAATTGAATTAAAACATGGCAACGAGTCAGAACATGACCCCAGGTGTATTTGACATTGTAGCTGATTTTGAATTACAGTACCCTATATGAACACTTGGTGGTGCCAAACAACAGACACTTTAGAAATGTTCCCCTAAGTGTACTCAAGAGTCTCAGAACTCATACTAATTATTCCTTCTGTCCCACCATCACCAGCATAATGTTGTGGCATTACATGAAGTTCTGGGAACAATAGAATAAAGAATAAAGATGATGAGATTAATTATAAAGTTTGAAGTGCTATAGTTTACAAAGTGCTCACCCTCACAGCAACCCTGGAAGGTAGATGACTTATGTACTTTCCAGCAAAGGAAAATTAACTGTTACTGTCTACATGCTATTCGTAAATTCATCTAGCAATACTGAGTACTAAATATATGCAAACCAGATGCTAGAGGAGGTTCAAAGATACATTAGTAAGCAAATATATGCATGTACACATATGTGTCTACAAATATGTATGTGTACATACATACATACATACATACATGTTTATGTATATACAACCTTCAAGGAATTTGAAGGTAGCATGACATAGTTGATTAGCCATGGAACTAGGAAGTCCTGGGTTCAAATTTTGCTTCTTACACATACTGAATGTGTCATCTAGAACAAGTCACTTTTTTATCCAGTGATACTGGCCTGCTGGCTGTTCCACAAGCAAGATACTCCATCTCTCAGCTCTGGGCATCTCCTCTGGCTGTAGACTATGTCTGAAATACTCTTCCTCTTCAGCTCTGCCTATTGACTTCCCTGGCTTCTTTTAATTCCAACTAAAATCCCATCTTTTACTGGAAGCTTTCCCAAATCCCTCTTAATTCTAATGCCTTCTGTTAATTATTTCTTATTTATTCTGTATATATCTTGCTTTTTAAATATTTGTTTTCATATTATCTCCCCTATTAGATTGTAAACTCCTAGAGGGCAAGGATTGTCTTTTGACTCTTTCTGTATTTTTAGTGCTTAGCTCAGTGCCTGACATTTAGTAGGTGTTTAACAAATGTTTATTGATTAATTGATTGCCCTAACCTTTCAGCAACTCTCTAAGACTATGAGATGTAGTGCTGACATGCAATGGTAGAGGGAATTTCTTAAATCAATCAAAACACAAGTCTAGTCTCTATCCCTGTTCCTATGAACTTAAAATCTAGTATGGAGATAATGATGATTATGGGATTATGGTTGGATAACTGGCCTTGGATCCACAAAGTCCTGGGTTCAAGTTCTGCCTCTACCATATAGGATGTGTGACCCCTGGACAAGTTACTTAAGGCTTTAGTTCTCTAGACAACTCTCTAAGACTATAAATCAAAAGATGCTGATATGCATTTGTAAAGAGTTTCCTCATGCAGGCGTTCTCTATGCCCCCATCCCAACCTCAAATCACAAGTCCCTATGGGGGAAATAAAATGTTTGTTCAAATAATTATAGTGTAAATCAAATATATGTAAGAAAAGTTGAAATGTGGTGCTTTGAAAATTCACAAGTGAGAGATCAATTTTTTTTAGAGAGGCTTATGGAAAATATCTTAGGGGAGATTTGAGCTGGGCCTTCAGAGTTGGATAAGCTTTCAACAGGTGGTGATAGAGTGGTGGTAGAAGAGAATACAAAGAAGTGGGTGAGCAAAGGCATTGAGGAGAGCAGACTGATGTGTTTTGATCAGAGAATAGTTTGTGAGTGGGAATAATGGGAATAAACAAGAACTGGAAAGGACAACTGGGGCTAGGCTTGAGGACACTAGATGCTGTGCTAAAGAGTGTGGCCTTTGTTTAACAAATATTAGAGAATCATTGAAGGTTTTTGAGCAGTAAAGTGATCAGAGAAATTAATTAGAAAATTTTCTTTGGCAATCATATGAAGATTAGATTGGAGAGGGAGGAGGTTATTAGAGGTAAGCGGACCAGTTAAGAGCCTTTGAAATACTCTAAGACAAATATAAGGAGTATTAGAAATGGTCATTAGTAATTATTTTATTTACAAATAAATTAGTAATTAGAAATTAGAAATTATTATTAATTAGAAATTAGACCATGGCAGTAGAAATTGTTTCTCTTTCTGCCTCCATTGTTATTTATCCTCATATTTTCTCATGCTATTTCCCTTTATTTTTCACTTTTGCCATTATGATAGGAATGAGGTAACACCTCAGTGTTGTTTTAATTTGCATTTCTCTTATTGTTAGAGGTCTGGAATTTTTTTTTTTTTGGTTTGGGCAATGGGGTTAAGTGACTTGCCCAGGGTCACGCAGCTAGTAAGTGTTATGTGTCTGAGGCCAGATTTGAAGTCAGGTCCTCCTGAATCCAGGGCCGGTGCTCTATCCACTGCACCACCTAGCTGCCCCCTTTATCTGGAACATTTTTCATATGGTTTTCAGTAGTTTGCATTTTTTTTTCCATTTGAGAACTTCCTATATCTCATGGACACTTATTTATAGGGGAACAGGTCTTATTTTTATAGAACAATTTAAAATGCTTATTAGATTGTTATTTATCAAAAATGCATCAGTAAATTTCAAATGGGTTAAAAGGAACCCAAAATTTAAATGAGATGTTTCTATATATCCAATACATACATAATAAAATAATTCTTTTAGAGGAATTAAAAGCTATTGTTATAAGCTATCATTATTACTTAAAGACCTAATAGATATTAAAAGATCAGAGAGAAAAAAAGGCTTTGAGTTCTTGTTAGAGGAAATAAGACTTGCAAAGAGGTTACAATAATTTCTAAGCAGCTATTAATGAGGTCATGAATATGACAGTGGCAGTGAAAGTGTGAATAGGACAGTGGCAGTGGGAATAGATAGGAGATGAAAGAGATAATGCAGAGATGAAAATGACAGAATCATAGAATATTTCAACTAGAAGGGACTCAGAAGCCATCTAACACAATGCATACCTAAATAAGTTTTTTTTTTCCTATAGCATACCTGGTTATTCAGCCATTGCTTAAAGTGTTCTATTGAAAAGAACCCCACCACTTCCCCAGACACCCCATTCTACTTTTGAACAGATCTAATTTTTAGGAAGTTCATACTAATATCAAGGCTAATTTGACATTTTTGCAACTTTCACCCATTTCTCCTAAACCTTAGAATAAGTTTATTCTTTGTCACATGTTTAACTTCAAACTTGAAGTTAGCTATTAGATATTCTTTAAATCTCCAGGTCAGCATCCAAAGTTCTTTTAAAGACATGAGCTAAAAGTTCGTTACCAGTCTGGTCACCCTCCTCCGTCCCGCTTATCAATATCCTTAATAAATGTGTATCCTAGAACTGATGCAGAAATTGATGTTCAAAGACTTCACCAAGGTCACTTTTTGGGATTTGAACTTAGATCTTCTGACTCTAAATCCAGCTCATTTTCTCTCTTTAAAAAAAGTTTCATCAATATTTTTTGTTTTCATGTAACAACCTTATCCCCATTCAACCTTCTCTTGTGATAAAGGAAAACATTTAAACAATTAACTGACTCAGTGGCTATGTCTAATAGTGTGTGGAACATTCTATACTCAAAGTCTCCCACCTTTCCAAGAAAAAGAAGTGCATTTTCTCATTTTTTCTTCTTTCCGTGACACTATCATTCAGCTTCCTTAAAGGCAAAAATGATCAACACAAACATATAAATAAAGACAACAGTTATCTTTTTCTTCCAAACTTTATTAGACTTTACTAGATGACACTGCATGATGTACTGCACTGGCTTGTGCATGTTAATAAGAACCCCACTGTAATTCAGATGGCATAATCCATTTAAGAACAAGCAAAATATTTAATTTCCCACAATAGTTTTCATAAGAGTATAGTGTCTTTGTAGTCTTTCATAGGCTTGGATAAAACAATGCCACCATTCAGTTCTTAAAAAAAAAAAAAAGAACCAAATACTTGATGACTAATGTTGTGAGTCCATAAGTTATTTTATAAAATATCCCCAAGACTTTGGACTTGAGAATGCTCTTTCACCTAGAATTTGTCACTGTGATTTGACACTGGTATTATTCTAACTGCCAGCAGTAAATGAAATTAAATTTACTAAAATGAGTAGTACATTCACTCATGCAACACAATACATAAATGTAAAACTGAATAGTAGGTAAAAGATTTTTAAAAATTGAGTGTTAAAAAAAAACCTATTAATTTTAAGGTCCTGGCCAGCAGGACAGTTATTGGCAGGAGTAATTTTTTTTTCTTCAGATATTTGTACAAGTGCATAAACAACCTGTCAATATCTTTTCTGAGGACATGATTTATTTTAGCTTTAATGATACATTCATCAGGACAAACTAAATGCCATACGACAGATTATAGAAAATACAAGAGAAAGGGCAGTTTGTGTGGGTCACCTAAAACAAAAGGTACTGACAGAATCACCCAAGAAGATGGACAAATCAGTGAGATGCAGATCTAGAAGTTAAGAAAAAAGTATCAAGTGAATACCTCACACCATCATTCTACAGATTTTGTTTGAAAGGTATATTGTGGGTAAGATATTGCCAAACGTGACCTAGAGAAAAATCTATTCTGGAAATGTTACAGAGGTTACAGTTTTTTGAATGCTTTGTTACAAGTAGTGATTCTGTTCTACTCATAAATAAATAGCATGATTGATAAAGGCTGAGAGCTATTTTAACTGCTCAAGTGATGATAGGAAGATAAATTTCTTTGGAAGTACTATATACTTTAAATAAACAGTGCATTTTGGGATCAGCTTTGAAGGCTTATAATCTTAGTGGATTTGACAGAAATTACAATTTTACCAGTTTAAACTTTAGGTATTCAATATCATACCTTTTTTTTTCCCCTTCACACAACCAACTACTTAAAAACAGGTACCAACATTTAGATAAAATATCCAATTATTTATCTATGATAATCAAATTGGATATATTCACTGAAATAGCATGTCTTTATCACATGAAAAATATGTAGTCCCCTTGGTGTTTTTAAGAGGGAAGCAAAGACAACTCTGACAAAGTTCCTGAATTTTCATGAGACTTTTCGGAGCAGAAATAAGTCCAACTTAATGAAACAATAAGGCACCAGTAAAGGATTTAAAAATGTTAAATCTAGTTACACAAAGCACCAAAAGTTGAAGGTTGAAGGGAGGAGACTTTAGTGTTAATGGGAAATGAGCATAAACCCATTTTCCAAGCACTTAATTACCAATTTCTTTCTTCCTTTTATTAAACACTGCACAAGCACTACAATGATACATACCTTATTTAATGTCCTGAAAACTTTATTCATTAAAACAACATGCAACACTAAGAATTTGAAATATTACAATAATGTGAGAGTAAAAAAAATGGCTTCGGACAAAACCCAGCTCCATAGCAATGTAAATTCCTTATTTTCCAACATTTTCATAAAAACAAAAGACAAAGTTTTCTTCCACTTCTCCAATTCTCTTTCAAACATTTTCAAATGATGTTTATAGATTGCATTTTATTTCAGTTGTAGCTGGTGTATGGTTTTTGTAGTATAGTGAATTACTGAAAATCTGATGCCATCTGATAAAATGTATGAAAGACTAAGAAATCACAAAGCTAACTGTCTTTTGTATGAGTAAGCAAAGAAAAGAAGAATATCAATTCTCAAGGTGCATTCTGATATTGAACCCCAAATACCACAAATTGTTATATTATTCTGATTGCAAAACAGATACAAATATTAGGGAATAAATTCTATTCAACTTAGTGAAACGTTTTACGGAACTGCTGACCACTAGCCAAAAGCTAATAACTAAAACATTATTTTAGATTTAACAGTTTTCTCTTGTTATAACTTTCACTACAGACTGTAAGTAATGGCAAAGTCTGTGAAAGAGATGAAATAATTATTTCTTAGAATTGGCAATTTCACTAGAAGCAATAATTTATATTACCAAAGTTCATTTATATGTTTATGTGAAAAATGTTAAGATGTGGACAGATTAAAATCAATTTCATCTATCTGTTTTCAATGGAATTGAATAGTTTCATAGTCCTTCCCTTCCCCTTGTTCTCCCACTTTTTTTTTTCTGGTTCAGACCTGTAATTTCATTAGTATAGGAAACTTGTCTATCTGCAGCTCCTCTGTGGCTTAGCCTGGAGTACTGAGAAGGTAAGTGTCAGGGGTAGGATTTTAAGCTTCATTATTTAGAGCTCAAGTCTAGCATTCTAGCCACTATGCCCCCGTGCTGCCAATTTATGATCATATCTTAATCAGCTACTTTGTTTAAACACAGACCAAATATTTTGAAATTCTGAGGTGGGGTAGGAGGAAGGATAGGTTTGGTAGGTGGCTAGGATTTATTTTTTTCGTGATTTATCTGTGTTTTTATTTCTTAGAGCAGTTACTTTAAAATACCCCCCAATACATAATGTATTATAACTTACTAACAATTCTTACTATACCGCTGTCCTTTGTATTTGTGAAGTAAATGAAGGTTATCTGATATCTCTCAACTGTCCTGCATCTTCAGAGATGGTTTTTTGAAACTTCGTGGCAGAATGTTAAAGGAGAATGAAAGGGAGAACACACATCTTGTTTAAGCTAGCTCTAATGCCATAGGCAATATCTATAAGGTCTTATTGTTCATCATGGCAGGACTTAATACTCTCAGCTACCACACTGTAGGACTGAGATGGTCAAATGGCAAAATTAAGAAACTGAGGAGTGGCAATATATAACTTTATTTTAAAAGCATTAGAAATATCTGTGTACATATGTATGTGTCTGTATGTGTATGATAAGGGCTATTTTTTCTTATGCTGTCTGAGTGGAAGAAGACATACACTAAGGAGCTCTTTCATCTCAATTTTCACATTCCTTGGCTTCTTGCCCTGTATATGGAAAATAAACTATGACTGAAGACATAATAATTGCTTCAGGTCAGGAGTATCTCTTAAATGACAGTCAGTAGAAATCTTGGTGCTCCAATAGAGGTTGACTAAAAGAAAGTGATAGGAAAAGTGCTAAGATTCCTGAGTGACTACAGTGTAATTATTTTTAAACTACTAAAGAGATCATACCAAGTTTAGACCCTTTTCTAATCTCCTTCTGCACACCCCAAGAGGGCAAATAAAAGGGATGGTGTTGGAAGGCTCTTGGTACCAATAGGCCACTTAGCCCATGGGGTGAATGCAGTAGGAATGTTTGACAAATTGGTATGCTTTTTTCTAACTCAACAGCTGTGAAAAGGCAATCCAGGTCAGCTTGATGTCACTGTTTTAGCACTTCTTGGTTCTAAATTTCAGGTAAATAAGGGCATTATCAGACTGATAAGCATATATCTTAAACAAAGTATCCCTTTTCCCCTTCCAAACCACAATCCATCTTGAAGTTTGGGCTTAACTGGTGCTACTGTTTTAGGAGCTAGATACATGATAAAAATCCTTTTCACTTATTTGTCTAAGGATAACATTTATCTATACATTTATACAAAAGAGGAAATCAAGGCATTTGCAACTGATAAAGTGACTACTATTGGAGAAGGGATAATTGGCTATAGTCTACATGATCTAATAGAAATTATTTAATGGCATGGCACCCTTAATTCAGTGTTGCACATGTGGATCAAGTTGGATCTCATACAGAAATGAGCTATACTATCTATATTATGGCCCCCCAAAATTCTGTAGAATCCTTAGGTAGAAAAACTTGTCTGTAACCTTATTCCATTTGGCTACTGCATGTTTATCAGTTTCTCCATTAAAAATCATCCTTTACAATTAAATAGCGTTTTAAGTTTTTGGAGTGCTTTCAAATCAAGTGAGATAATGGTTCGTTACAGTAATTCTGGGGCAATCAGCAAGACAAGTATTATTACCCTCAATTTGTAGATGAGGAAATGGAGGTTCAAACAGGCAAAGGGATTGCCTAATAACATACAGGTTGGGGCTGAGACTACAGCAGGAGTCATCTGATGTCTTGTTTAGAGCCCCACTACATCATATTCTTTCTTAGTATCAGTTTAGATGGAAGATGACAGAATTTGGAGCTGCCCAAGGCCACGCTCTGCCCAAATGACAAAAAATAGCCAATTAATTTATAAGTATTATGTTGGTTTTTAAAAATACCCTCAAATTAATGAAAGTACATTAATTTTAGAAAAGTTAGAACAGCACCAATCTTATAATATGGCTTGTTTTCTAAAAGCTCATTTGTTAATCATTTGAAAATCCAAACTCATTTTTCCGTAGAAACTTTAAACATAATAATTAGGTTCCTGGGTCAGCCCACTAAAGTCTATTTAATCCATAATGTGCCTGAAATATGTCATGTTGTACTAATAATAGTAATGCAGATTCTGACCACCATATGTAAACAGTATTTCTATGGCGAAATAAACTCAGAATTTGGGACAAAAGAACATTTCCTTGCAGGATTCTCACACCAGAACAAGTCACTATGGGTGATTCTCTGAGTTTGGAGCAGTTGCTGAAACTCCTGCAAGTTGGAGACTGGGAAACAGGAATGAAAGCTTTAATTATTTGGAGAGTAAGGGTCCAGAGCTTCCTGCAAGGATAAAGAAATATTCAGGCTAACCCTCAAAGCCACTTCTTTCTTAGTACTGCCTGGCTCCCTGTCCCTAAATTCTTTTTCTTTTTCATGCTTTAGAGATTGAGCCACCTGCTTCACTTTCTACTGATACTATCTATTGCTCTTGACCAAGGTTTTTTTTTCTTTCCTGGCTCATTACAGAACAGAATGTAATTTCAGAGCTTCTCCTATTTGCTTGGGGGAAGGGAGACCCCAAGTAAAGGCAGAGGAGAAGGAAGAGGATTTTATGTGACCACTGGCCTTTTCCATTGTGTAGAAGGGATATAGATAGATCAGAGATGGTCTTTACTTTCATGTCCTTTGTCAGACTACTGCTTTAAAATCAATTTAGTTAACTTCTTTCTAGGAAATGGTGAGCATTTCTTAATATTGCCATTTGCACCAATAAGAAGGAAAATTCTTTCATTCACTCTTTTTTTTAAAATTTATTTTTATTTTTAGGCAATTGGGGTTAAGTGACTTGCCCAGGGTCACACAGCTAGCATACACTCTTAATTTACTGTTTTTCTTCTTTCCAAGTAAAGTAAGGCCTAGTTATAAGTTATGCTTATTTCCAGTGCAGTTACAATTCAACCACAAAGCAATTTTTGTATCTGAATTTAATTTTTCTACATTTAGCAGCAATTATAAAGATAAGAAAGAATTCTTCTTACATTTGAATACAATAGGAAGGGATAGCGACTACCCCAAAGGACTACAATAAGTAAGGATTTCTATGAGAAAAACTGCAATGTGCTGAAATTGCCCCACAGAGTTGGGGGAGGAAAGTCATTTGATGTTAAAGAAAAAAATGACACATGATCAGAAAATAAATGGGATAGGATCAGGGGTACAAGAGAAAAGATATCTTTTTCCTTCATCATTTACACTTGCCTTGCATGCATAAATTTTACTGCCATGCTATGCAAAATAACCTTGTTACATGAGAATATTCCTTGAAAGACCAAATGTAATCATATTGCCTTATGCTTTCCACTGTTTATTGCATCTGAAGTATAGCACATGGTCCTCAGAAAAACATGATGACTACAGTTTAAAAGGAAGTCTTGCAAATGCTGTTGGCAGCATTTCTTTTCAGTGATCAACAAGGCAAATGGCATTCCAATTTGAACTTTATGTCAGTAACAACACATACAATTAAAACGTGCCCTGCTTAAACATTAGGACTATGTTAAAACCCAATTATACTTCTTTGTTTGGACCTGTGATTTCATTGGCATGGGAGTCCCCAGGAGTTGGAAAATTCCTACTACTGAAGTAGACTAGCAACTATAATGAATGTTTAAAATCTTAAGAGAGTTCCCTGGGGCACTAAGAAACTAGTGATTTGTTTAGGGTCACAGTATATGTCAGAGGCAGGATGTGAAACTATCCATTGTGCCATACTTCTTCTCAAAACTACACTATAACATGGCTATAGATAAAATGATGTTGACTTGGATGGACCAATTATATTCACAGAACCATGACAACCAAATAGGACAGTTAGTTTTAACATGTATGTTAGTTTAGCTTCTAAAGCTAATATTAAGGGAGAGAAGGAATGGTCTTTTGTTTTCTAACTTTTAAATTAAAAAAATTTAAATTTTACATTCATAGGTTGCATCAAAAAAGTATTATCACAGATCATTAAATAGGCAAAAATGTCAGACCTGCTTCAAATTAATTGTATGCTTCAATGTTTTCCATTTACTATCTCCAATATGAAATCAACTTGAGGAAAGACGTGGTCTCCCAACCTCTTTGCTTTTTTCTATTTTGAGATGAAATAGGGACTATTGGTTTGTATACTCAGAAAATTATTATTGTAAATAATAATAAGAAACCATAACGAATAAACCAAATTGAAAATTCAACATGCTTGAATTGGTTGGTGGTGGTTATAACTTTTCAGTTACTCAGAGGAAATCCAGTTAGTGTATTCTTTAATAAAGGGCCCTGTTGGAGAGCTTTCTTACAATGAGATTGTAATGGGCACCAAAGGTTTTCAAATAAATGCTCCAACAAGGTTATTATGAATATTTCTTAGGCATCCATCATGTACTAGGCATGTTAATGAATATATTAAAATTATGCTGTGTTGGAACTTCTGCTACAAACTGCCAGAATTAAGTTTTTTATAAGCTTAATCTTTCAATCATTTTCATCCTAAAACTTTCTTTTAGTTCAGGTGACATAGACCATTGTGTGTTTATTCACCTGTTTTACAGCTTTAAATTTTGTTTAGAAGTAGAAATGAAGGGTGAAACATATTTGCAAAATCTTTTACATACTCTTAAGAAAACAAAATATGTATATTGAATAGCTGATAAACATGTATTTGTAAAACAGTACAATTTTGCATAGCTTTATAAACCTCAACTTCATAATATAATTACTCAAATGGCACAGAGGACTTTTAAAGTGCATTTGCTAACTTTAAGGCTATATTTATATTATGGTCTTAAGAAAAATAATAAAGCTGGAAAAATAAAAGAAAGTCACTACCAATGGTATAGAATTCAGTGACAAAAATGAATCACCTCTCACTCTCTGAAGAAAAATAGGGCTAAACATAGGTTACAATATGACAACTTGAATTTTAAGGCATATATTCATTTTGTTTTGGAATTTAAAATATTATTATGGCTTTGGTATGAAAGTTCTTGTGGGATTCAGTAACAAGGAAAACATTTTAAATACAGTGTTATCCATGTCTTTTTAACCATTAAAAATATAAATACAAATATAACAAGCAGCAATAAAATCAAGAATTAAAAACATTCTATGTAATATACAAGTAGTTTTTATCAGTTTGACAGAAGTACTCTAATTTAGCTCTCAACACATTTAGAGAAGGCGAGAAAAGAACACTGGTTTCCTTTGCATAATATGTCAGAAATATTTTTTTTTCATTATTTCATCACTAAGAGTTGTATATCTATGTTATGGAGGTCAAGGAGAAAGGAAAGCAGGGAGTAACCAGAAGGAACAGAGAGATAGAAGGTCAGGAGAAAGAAAGTCAATGATATTATAAAGTGAAGGATTCAGGAGAGCAATAAGGCCACCCATTCAAGAAGGAAGGGCTGGGAGATAGCAGATACAGTTTCACGGGCACCACTGAATCTTGATACCTCAGGGAGAAAAATACAATCAGATAGAAGGTTGTAACCCTTGGTATCTTGGATTGTATCCTTTTTGTCCAAGTGTCAGGATACAACACCTCCTATCAAGAAATCTAAGCCACAGGAAATAAACAATGCCTGTGCTAGGACATCAAAATATACAGATTTTCCCTTCTTAACTTTAATCACAAGGAACCTTGGTGGGCTTTGGGGTAAAATAAATGTCACATCATCACTTGATGTACTGGAAAGAAAATCAACATATCCTAAGACCTTCCAAGTATGGAGTATTCCATACTCCATTTTGATACTTCTTGAATTAGTGTGGATTTTCATGGCAATAACAATATCATTAATCTGCTAACATTTTAAAAGACCTTCAATTATAGCAAGAATGAACAACACAGTGGGGCAGTAAATATGAAAATGGTAGTATGTTGGAAAAATGTGAAAACTATTTTCAAATAGCTCTAGAGAGTAATTTTTATATCTAAATTTTCATTATTTAAAGAGATTAAAGCAATGAGGCAATCTGACAACTATATTCTTCTCTTGTCAAACTATTGGCATCAAATCATATATTTTGTTTTGAGTGGAAAAGATGAAAATTATCTTCTAGCTCCTTATTTTGGCAAGGTATCCAATTTGAATAAATGAGTAGATGAAACGAAGATGGGAAATAAGCACCCTGTCCTTAAAACAAAAACATAATGATAACCTTCTTCTAGACTAAGTCTTTTCAGTTTCTTTAGAGGACAATGATAGAAAAGCACATGCTATGCAGAACTTACAATGATTATTTAATTTCTTTGCAAATGCAAAATATTAAATAAAGATATGAAATAAAATGCCACAACTAAATACAAGGTAGAAGCCAAATTACTTTCCTCTACTTGATTACACTAAAAAACTACAAAAGATACTTTGTAAACATGCTACTAAAATTTTTCTAACAGTGGATTTTTTGAAAAATTAAAATTCACACACAAGTTACAGATAGGGTTTTACCCTCAATGATGGCACTAAAATAAAAAAAAATTATTTTCATTCTATTCTCTTTTCTTAAGATCTTCATTATACTACTACCAGAACTTCAGAAATTATTACTTCAAGCTATTGAAGGAAAAGGGTAGGTATACCAACGATCTGCTATGACAAATGTATAAATTACATTTTTTTAAAAAAATCAATAAAATAGAATAATGGAAAACCTGTGCAACCAAATGCTGAAACAATTCAAAGTACTAAAAGCCTTTACTGACTTCATATCAGACACCAACTCTATCATCCAGAAGTTGGAAAGTTTTCTAAATAATATAAAATACCCCCCAAAAGATAAGTTATTTAAAGGAAGGAATACAAATCCCTGAGTAAGCCATAGACAACAGATATGATGGACCTAAGAAAATAGATTATCTAGGACCAGACATATACTATTCAACTAGTCAATATATGTGTGCATACAATTTATATGCAACCATAAAAAGATTTTACATAAACATATATATGTATAACATATATATGCACATTCACATATGCACACATACAAGATTGAGGGCGAATGCTTATATACATAAATTATAAAAACAAAGGCCCAAGTCAGGAAAATATGCATTGCAAAGATACAAGTTTAAGACATATAAATACATGGGTTTTATCTGGAAACCCTGGTACTATTTGAAACAATAGTACTACTTTTCTTGTATGAAGTTATTCTTTCAAAAGATGTCTTTCTAGAACCATTAAGGGATAGCATGTCTTTACTATGAAATGAAAGATTACTTCAGGAGTTCTATTATGCCTGTACGATGCATTAAATGAGAAAGAATGAAAGCAAACTATCTCAAGATGAACGCTAGTAAACTCCCCTATCACATATGTCAGTTCAACCAAAAATGACACTTTTCCCATTATCTGGAGTCCAACAAAGAGCAGTATGGATTTCAAGTGTTTCAAAAAAAATGAATGCTGATCAATGAAATATTATATCCATGGTATACAGCTATGTTTTAAAGTTGTGGAGGCAGTTATGAAGAATTTGAGCTTCTTGGGCTCCATTTTGTTCACTCTGCTGGCGAACTTTTATGATTAAAACAAGGACTGGCAAATAGTAATCTATTTGTCTCCTTATTCTTGAAGAAACTGGGGATCTGAAAAACTTCCAGAAACATTTTCCTTCATTTATTTTCTCCATTTTCTTCTACAGCAGCAGATTTAAGGTTTTGGTTTTTGTTTAAAAAGTACATAACCATGATCATAGGAACCTTGTTTTTAGTGAACCCCTTTCATAATATCACTAACAGTAACAAAACTTGAACAGCAGGCATGAGACTTACATCTGAAAACAAAGCTTGTTTCTGTGAAAAGTCCAAGATAAAAAATTAAGTAAAGGAAATAATACAGAGTTTTTTATGACATTTTCAAATTCTTTATGACCACAATTTAAAAATTTTCTGATTCTATAAAGGATGTTAAACAGTTTTCATTTCAAATAAAATCTTTCTTTGGATTGACTAATGAAATTCTCGTGCATTTTCATGGAAATTCATATTGTTCTATGCACAATAAAAGATGCACCAGTAGGAAAATAAGGAGCATTTTTCCCAGGACTCAGCTTCTGAGACCATTTTATCAATTCTGATGGTACACAAAATTTGATACTTTACTAAGTAGCACTGTCTTTTTTTTTTTTAACAGTATTTCTTGGGTATCTTCCACATTGACCATTATGTATCCTGAGACAGCAGAGGACCTAAGCCCAATCTGAAACAGCCCTATGAAAATATGGAAGAATAATGTAGTATCATATGACTAGACAACTACGGGGTTATTGGGGCCACCTCTAATACAGGTTTACTTACACACCTACACAAGGATTTCACTATGCCACATGCTTCTTCTCATTGATTTGTTTTCATTAGTTCCCTTTTAGGCACTGAGATTTTTGGCAACTGCAACTCCTGCCAAATGGCTGAATTACACTGCTTGGTCCATAGGAAGAAATAAGTGGATATGATGAGCCTCTGTCTTCTGAAATTTGACTTTGCTTAATGGTAGACAAAGGATGTGAGTTATTCAGAGCACACCCCAAAAGATGAGCAAGAGGTTCAGTGTTCAGGACACAAAGACAAATTAAACTACCTTCAACTATCTCTCATAAAAATCCTAAACAGATAAGCTGCATCTTTAACAAAAATGCTTTCTTAATAGGACAACAGGAAGGGTTTTAGTTTAAATATAGAAGTCTATGAAAGTAATCTGGAGAGCAACTCCTTAATTTTTTTTTTAAAGCAGCAATAAGAAAGAGGAAAAGGGGTAGGCTACCATTTTTGGAGTGCACCATAGCAAGGAGGCATTCTGGCCTGCAGCAGTGAACCAAGAGGAGAGGAGATGGCAAGAAGTCCCTCTCAGTTTTCAGGATGGCGTCTTGTATATGGATGCCCACGTTCTTCGTTGCACCATTTTGTATAACCCTTGACAGGGCTCAGATCAGTGCAGATGAAAAAGTTTGCTTTCTACCAGGGCATACCTGTCCGTGATCTTTTTCTTTGCTTTTTACAAAGGCAATAGATGGGAAATACAAATAAACCTGAAAAAAAACCATGCAATATGTATTAGATAAAGATACACTTTATACCATGAAGTTTATATTTTTTTGTGATTTACGAACTATACAAAAGCTATCATCCTTTAGATGTTATTCAAAAATTATTCAACAAAGTCATTGAGAATCCCTCCTAATTTGTAAGAGGATCAAAGACTCCACCCACAAGTTGTTCAAGCCTATGCCTGTTTTCCAAGGATGTGGCTTTAGGGAAGGTGGAATGCTATTTCATATCCCATACCATTCATTTTCTTAGACCATATGGACAGCTGACTTTATACCAGCCATCTTCCTTTGAATAATTCTGCTGTGATGATTTCTTACTTTAGCCAAATGAAAATATTTGACTGTTCAGATATATGATAAGGTAAGACTTCAATAGCTTATTAGAAATAAATTTCCATGGCCAAATATTTCAATGAATTTTGTTTTTTTCAAATAAATCCACAATAATACTGCTAGATTTCATGTGTTACTTCTCACTGTGACTATTTTCATGTTAAATACTATTTTTACATGGGTCACTTTCAGCTGAAATAAATGTCTACAGAGGACTATAATCTTATTTCTTTGATGCCAGTCAAAAAATAAATTTCTCATACTGTTAAGCCTATAGTTATAAAAAAGAGAGAAAATTTGATAGTGAATTATTTGTTAAATGAAATCTACTGCCTACACTAAAGTCTTACTCTGATGCCTCATGACGATGTGGATATGGCCCTAGTTCTCCAAGACTATTTCAGGGGAGGCAAGCACCGACTGGGCTTATCGTGGCTTTAAATACAAGTCCAGGAACAGTCTGTATCTCTTATCTTGAGACTTGCTTAGCCAGGTACAGAAATGCCCATCTCCATAAGGCTTGCCAGAAAATCATGATATATTTTGAATACAGCAACTCATGAAGACTATCTACTAAAGCATGACAGGGTCACAACATGCAACTTATAATGAAATTGCAAGTTGTTTTTTTTTTTAAGTACTAAAGCATGCTATCCCCACCATTTAAAAACTCAAACCTATAATTTCATTGGTATAGACAGCTCCCAGTAAGGAACTTCTACTAATACAGATGAGCAACTTCTCTGCAATTTGTAGTTTCAGAGAGTTGTTTGGAGTTATTGAGAGGTTAAGTGACTTGACCAGGGTCATAAAGTCAGCACTTGAACTCAGAACTTTCTGCCCTTTCAGACAAGCTTTCTATCCACTATACTACACTTCTTCTAAGTCTGAACTTAATAATTATAATTAACAAGAGCTTACATTCATATGGTGTTTTAAAACTATACAGAGCACTTTCCTCAAAAGAACAATGTCATTTGGTTAATATAGGTAAGTTCATCTGAATATAATAGATGGGGAAACAGAGATCTGGAGAGATAAAGTGCCTTTTGCAGGAGGACACAAAACTTGTGTCAGAGCTGGTACTTTATGACTACTGCTCTTAATAATCATGGGATGACTATTTTCCTAAGGAATTAATTTTTCTACTACTTTAACAAAGTCAGTTCTTTTAAATAGTTAACAGAAAGGCATAATAAGTGATTCCTGTTGGTCTATCTTGTTCTCATGTTTTCATCATTCTGAAAGGGTTCCCATCTCAGAAACATAGAACCGAGGAAAGAAAATTAGCCTTACCTATTACAACGGCTATGGCCCCAAGTGCCAATCCTAAAACCAGGATCAGAGGTGCAATGATTAATTTTCCAGCTGAAAAAAAAAGTCATCATAAAAAATAACTGTACATTTATACAGTTCTTTTCAAAGTATCTTTCAACTTTTAATACCTTCAGCATTAAATATAACAGATGTGCAGATGAAAATATTTAAAGCTTTTTTAAAAACAAAAAAGCTTTTAAAAGCTTTGTTAAAAAAATCAGGTTGTCACTTCCATTTAGCAACAGTTATAATGCTTCTTTTAGCCCAACAACTTCACAGCACACACATTCACAAAACTTTGTAAACATGATTCTGTTGTAGATAAAACACCAAAAACAGAACAAAATTACTAAAAACCTACTTTGTTTTAAGATTAGTGTCTTCCTATGTTTAACTTTTACAGTTATACCAACTCAACTTTATTTTTAAGCTGGCAAAAGATTAAAAGCGAATTTATACTCACTTTCTCCCTTAGAGGCCTCTTATACCAACAGACCATAGCAGAAGAGACAGAAAATTTGAAATGAGTAGTGAAAGAATATATGCGTACAGAATACAGATTTAGAGCTGAAAGGAACCTCAGACATCATAGGATCATAGATTTAGACTCAGAAGGGGCCTTAAGGGTCAGATAGAGCAATGCCTTCATTTTACAGACAAGGAAACTGAAGGCCAGGTAGGTTGTGGCTTGCCTGAGAAGTAGATGTGGCTCAGTGCCTCAGACTACAAATCTAGCATGCTAAACTGTATTATGTGATTGAATGAATAGAAGAATGAATATTCACTACAACCACATGATTAGCTCCAGTATAAGACTTTCACCTATCAACATGTTGGATGATCCAGAGAGGTTTATAAATACTTGTATTTATCTTCTCATCTGCTCTTTTCTTAGGATTTTATTTATTTTTAGTTTTCAACATTCACTTTTATAAGATTGAGTTCTAAATTTTTTCCCTCGCTCCCCTTCCGCCTCGCAAGACACGCAATCTGATATAGACTATACATTTACAATCATATTAAGCATATTTCCACATTAGTCATGTTTTCAAAGAAGAATCAGAACAAAAGGGAAAAACCATGAGAAAGAAAAAGAAAGCAAAAAAGAGAAAATAGTATGTTTTGATCTGCATTCAGACTCCATAGTTCTTTTAGATCATGGCATTGCTGAGAAGAACTTAGTCTATCAAAGTTGGTCATCGCACAATGTTGCTGTTACTGTGGATAATGTTCTCCTGGTTTTGCTCATTTAACTCAGCATCAATTCATTTAAGTCTTTCCAGGTTTTTCTGAAATCCACCTACTCATCCTTTAGTATAGAACAGTAGTATTCTATTACATCTATATCACAACTTGTTCAGCCATGTTCCAATTGATGGGTATCCCCTCACTTCCCAATTCTTTGCTACCATAAAAAGAGCTGCCATAAATATTTTTGTACATGTGGGTCCTTTTCCCTTTTTGATGATCTCTTTGGGAAACAGACCTAGTAGTGATATTGCTGAATCAAAGGGTATGCACAGTTTTATAGCCCTTTGAACATAGTTCCAAATTGCTCTCTGGAATGGTTGGATTAGTTCATAACTCCACCAACAATGCATTAGTGTTCCAATTTTCCCACATCTTCTCCAACACTTCTCACATTCCTGTTCTGTCATGACTATAGATAGTTTTAATTTCTTCATCCAAAAATTGCCTGTTCATATCCTTTGACCATTTATCAATTGGAGAATGACTTCTATTCTTATAAATTTGACTCAGTTCTCTATTTATTTTAGAAATGAGGCCTTTATCAGAAACACTGGCTGCAAAAATTGTTTCCCAGCTTTCTGCTTACCTTCTAATCTTGGTTACATTGGCTTTGTGCACAAACTTTTTAATTTAATGCCATCAAAATTATCCATTTTGCATTTTATAATGTTCTCTATCTCGTTTGGTCATACATTTTCCATTCTCCATAGATCTGACAGGTAAACTATTTCTTGCCCTTCTAATTTGCTTGTGGTGTCACCTTTTATGTCTAAATTGTGTACCCATTTTGACCTTATCTTGGAATACGGTATAAGATGTTGGTCTATGCCTAGTTTCTGCCATACTATTTTCCAATTTTCCCAGCAGTTTTTGTCAGTGAGCCCTTATCACAGAAGCTACAGTCTTTGGGTTTATCAAACAGTAGATTACTATAGTCATTGACTACTGTGTCTTGTATATCTAACATATTTCATTGACCCACTACTCTATTTCTTAGCCAATGCCAAGCAGTTTTGAGGATTGCTACTTTATAAAACAGCTTCATTTCTTGCTTTTCTTTTCATTAATTCCCTTGATATTCTGGACCTCCCGTTCTTCCAGATGAACTTTGTTATTATTTTTTCCAGCTCCATAAAATATTTTTTGGTAGTTTGATTGGTATAGCATTGAATAAGTAAATTAATTTAAGTAGAATTGTCATTTTTACTATATTAGCTTGGCCTACCCATGAACAACTGATATTTTTCCAATTATTTAGATCTGACTGTATTTGTGTGAAAAGTGTTTTGTAATTGTGTTCATATAGTTCCTGGGTTTGTCTTGGCAGGTAGGTTCCCAAATATTCTATATTGTCTACAGTTACTTTAAATGGAATTTCTCCTATCTCTTGCCACTGGGCCTTGTTAGTAATATATAGAAATTCTGATGATTTCTGTAGGTTTATTTTATATCCTACAACTTTACTAAAGTTGTTAATTATTTCAAGTAGGTTTTTAGTTGATTCTCTAGGATTCTCTAAGTATACCATCATATCATCTACAAAGAGTGTTAGCTTTGTTTCTTCATTGCCTATTCTAATTCCTTCCATTTTTTTCTTCTCTTGTTACTAAAGCTAACATTTCTGATACAATATTGAATAACAGTGGTGATAATGGACATTCTTGTTTCACCCCGATCTTATTGGAAGTGCTTCTAGCTTATCTCTATTACATGTAATGCTTGCTGATGGGTTTAGATAGATGCTACGTCACTTTAAGGAAAACTCCATTTATTCCTATGCTCTGTAATGTTTTTCATAGGAGTGGGTGTTGTAGAAAGCTTTTTCTGCACCTATTGAGCTAATCATATGATTTCTGTTAATTTTGTTATTGATAGGCTCCACTATGCTGATAGTTTTTCTAATGTTGAACCAGTCCTGCATTCCTGGTATAAATCCCACCTGGCCATAGTGTATTATTCTCATCATAAATTTCTATATCTCTTTGCTAATATTTTGTTTAAAATTTTTGCATCTTATTCATTAGGGAAATTAGTCTATAATTTTCTTTCTCTGTTTTGGTTCTTCCTGGTTTAGGTATCAGCACTGTATTTGTGTCATAAAAAGAATTCGGTAGGACTCCTTCACCTATTTTTCCAAATAGTTTTGGAATTAATTGTTCTTTAAATATTTGATAGAATTCACTTGTAAATCCATTTGTCCCTGGAGATTTTTTTCTTAGGGAGTTCATTGATGGCTTGTTCGATTTCTCTTTCTGAAATGAGGTTATTTAAGTATTTTATTTCTCTTCTGTTAATCTGGGCAATTTATATTTTTATAAATATTCATCCATTTCACTTAGATTGTCAGATTTACTGATGTACAGTTGGGCAAAATAGCTCTTTTTATATTAATTTCCTCTTCATTGGTGGTGATTTTATACTTTTCATTTTTGATACTGGTAATTTGGTTTTTTTTAAATCAAATTAACCAAAGGTTTATGTATTTTATTGGTTTCTCATCTGCTCTTGTTTTTGGGTGGGGCAATCAGGGTTAAGTGACTTGCCTAGGGTCACACAGCTAGTAAGTGTCAAGTGTCTAAGGCTGGATTTGAACTCAGGTCCTCCTGACTCCAAGGCCAAAGCTCCACTGTGCCACCTAGCTGCCCCGTTTCTCATCTGCTCTTGCTGCTAAATTCTTTCTCCTCTCCTTTGCAGTATGAATTCTCTCAGCAAAGCCAATAAGCATTAAGGACCTACTATATACCAGATAATGTACTAAAGCAAGAAGAATGCTACATTTTTTAGGAAGCCTTCCTTGACTCTAACCTCTGGAAGTAAAAGTCATCTTTCCTTTCCTAGATTTCTTATAACACTTTTCTTGGACCTCCCATTGTACTTATGTCACTCCTCGGTGTATCACAGTGATTTGTGCACTTGTCCTCTTTATGCTATAAGGTCCCCAAGAACAAGAACTATGTTGTTTAGCACCATGTATCCTTAGCACCATGGACAGAGCAAGCACATATTTGATAGAGAAAGTTAAATACTGGCTGCTGAATATTCAGGAAAAATCTAGACAGCTCACAAAAGAGCCTATTGATTATATAATGACAGTATTCAAAGCATCAGTCTTCCCCATAAACTTCATCTGAAATGGGAAGGCAAAATGCCATTGTGAATAAATGGACTTGAAGTCAGAAGATCTGGGTTTGGGTCCTGCCTCAGACATTTACTCTGTATGCCCCTGGAGAAGTCACTTGTTAATCCCTTTTAGTCTCATTTTCCTCATTTGTAAAATGATATATAATATTAATAGTAATAGCATCTATACTACAGGATTTTTTGAGAATCAAATGAAAATATGTATAAATGCTTTGCAAATGTTAAAGGCCCAAATAAATATTATCTATTATTATCATTATTAGTGTTTTGTTTCCTGGATCAAAGAAAAAAATGAACCACATTATCATAAATTATGTAAAGAGTTGTCCTAATGAAATAGGTATGAAATTATGAACTGCTAAAAACCATTGAAAAAAATTTGAAATTTTAAATATGTGCACAAAGATTAACCCTGTGAAATACTTAATAGGAAGAAAGGTTTGACTACCAGATTTTCTGATGTAACACTAATTTTTGTACTTTTAAGTTTGGGTGTGGGGAATAAACAATAGTGAACTACTATTTGTATTGAAATTCTACCCTATGGATAAGACTTGGGAAGACTTTGCCCAGCTGGCTTTGGGGAATTCATTCCTCCACTGTGTGACCATGTTTGTTTTGACTACTTAAAATGGGATAGATGTTAAGTTTTGCCCTTG